CAGTGCAGAGGAGCACTGGCTCTACTGTGAGCCTCTACTGAATGAACAAGTTCACTGGAGGAAGCTCGTTTCCACAACTTGTATTCACAATCTCATTCTTTTGGTCCCCACTCAAAGCCTGTGACGATAGGTGACTGTAGGAGCATAGACCAACCAGTTGATCAATAGCTTTACTTTAACACTTAGCCCTCTCTTCACCGCGCTAGACTATCACATGTTTTGCATGTTTTGCATATTTCTAAAATATGGACTTAACTCATGCATCTGTGCGTTTGGCTAATAGCTATAGCAAAACAGTTTTGTTTTGTTCCGCTGTGTCTTTTTGTGCTGAAAAATGTACCAAATGGGGAACTTTTTATCAGAAACAACACAATGGTCAACAAAAAGAAGAGAGAAATGTAAAAAAAGAAAAAGAAAACCAATATTATGCTAAATACAAACCAGATCAGAAAGCATAAAAAGAGACATAAGTTGATGTCCGTTTGTTTTTTGTCTGCAGTCCACGGAGGAAAAGGTGCCTTTAAATTACATTGGATATAAGTTGGTTGTGTTCTCCATATGGAGTCCTTCAAGACTGCTGATCACAGTCAGTCCTCACACAGGGTCTGTTCTTGATTTAAAAGGTCCTTCAGAGTAGCACATGGCCACTGCTGCTACCCAATATATGTATATATATGATAAATATGTACACACACAAACAATCAAATGTGGATCATCATTTGGGTTATGTAGGAAAAAAAAGTCTTTTTTCCCTCCATGCATACATCTACTCATGGCTGCTCTCACTCGAGGGGATAAGCATGTGAACTCGGTCACCTCGGCTCTTTAATGCTTCGTCCTGTCCTGCTGGTCCTGCAGTCATGGATGTACCGGTAGACTCTGACAGAGCAAACGTTTTTTACACATTAGTCTCCAGCCCGTTCATGTCAATGGAACAGTGGTCCTTGTCCCTGTGTTCTCTCTTGTGGTGAGAGGCGTGAGCGTGTTTCTTCTTCTCTACAGGTCGAATCCCCTCCTCCAGCTGGATCAGGCGAGCCACGTCAGGGGAAAGGTGGTCCTGCTTGCTGCCCGGTGGAGGCGGCTGGTAGCAGCCGTTCTTCTGGTTCTGGTAGTTCATCATCTGCTGGATGCTTATCATGGGTTTGGTCTCACATATAAGAGGCACCTAATGGACATGAGAATGAACAAAAAGAAGTGTCAGAATCACTTAATAAACAGGCAACACCCACAAGAACTAAAAATAAACAGCAAATTAAAATTGTGAATGAACTGAGTTTTTATGCAACAGGAAAGGATTTTATGGTCTTATTGGCCTTATTCAGCTCCCCTCACCCCCACACTGTAAAAAAAATCGTGATATAAAAGTATTTTATTGTGTATTTTACAGTTTTGTACTGTTCTTCCAGAATATCATTAAATTCACATAAATAGACTGTGATTTTACATGTCAAATGTAAATGAACGTAAAATCACTGTAATGTAATAAAACATAATTTTCTTGTTTTTTAAATGTATTTGTCTGTACATGTGCATATTTAGATTGTTAAAATACATTCACAAATGCATCATAATTTCACAAATATTTGAAAGATTGAACTGTTAAATTCAAATGTAATGCTATGGAAAAATATATAAAATGATTCGTATAAATTTTTTCTACATTAAATAATTATTATCATTATTGTTATTTAGGGCAATCGTGGCTCAAGAGTTGGCAGTTCGCCTTGTAATTAGAAGGTTGCCGGACGCTCTCGGTCGTTGTGTCCTTGGGCAAGGCACTTCACCTACTGGTGATGGCCAGAGGGGAATTATAAAGTGGAATTATAAAGTGGAACTGTAAAGCGCTTTGAAGGTCTCATAAAGCGCCATATGAATGCAATCCATTATTATTTAAACCAACTGTTAACTGTATTTCTGTACATTTAAGTATTATTATTCATATTGGTGCATTCATTGGCCTTTTTTATAGGTAATTTCATTGTTTAATCACATTAAATTGTTCCTAATTTAATGTTTAAAAGCACTTGAAAAAGGCAAAATCCCATGTAAAATTAGGGCAACAAACTGTATTATCATTACTGAAAATAAAGTTATTTTCTGGTATTTTCTGGTATTATTTTGGCGCCCCAGCTGCTGGAATATCACTGTTTTTTTAGAAATTTTTTTTTTACTGTGCACCTGGTCATGACAGATGACCGCCCCCTCTGACTCTGGTTCTGCCGGAGGTTTCTTCCTGCTAAGTCAAATTTATTCATTCTCACACAACAGCTGATATATCCTGGGCAGTTTAGGGTCCAGGATCTTGGAAGAGCCAGGGATTTAACCCTTTAAAATTATGAACAATGTACTCTTTATCTTGACCACAGATCCTAAAAGGTGCATAGAGTATGTGCAAAAGTTTTGAGCCACCCCTCATTTCTTTTTATTTTGTTCTTCAGGCTTTCTGAAAGTCTTCTTTGACTGTTTTTTCACTCCTTTTCAATCCAGTCCTTATAGCTGACTATTTTCAATGGATGTCTTTTATTTATTAAGCTACTTAACACAGACTCATGTATCGTTTAAGTGTGGACTGGAATCCTGTGCATTCTGGTCCCTACAAATGAAAGATACTAACATCTTCATCTCCAGTGTTCCAGATCAGTTTTTTGTGCCAGCGTCTTCAAACCATATATAATAGCAGGTCTTACTACCATATTGTAAACTTTCCCATTTATATTTGCTGCTGTGTGCAGGTGAGATTAGGAACTATAGAAAAAGAGGCATGCTCGTAGAATGACAAAGTAAAATGAGATATTTAAAGAAAGACATTAGCAAAGAAAGTTGGTTAGTCGGGGAGACGAAGTAGACAGGAGTATTGGGAGGCTGGCGTGTGGCAAACACAGATGGCAAATGCAAAGAAAAAGGCTTATAGGGATTTTTATGTGAGGCTGGACTAAGGAGAAAAGGACTTGTATCGATTGGCTAGATGGAGAGATTGTGCTGGAAAAGATGTGTTGCAGGTTAGGGTGATTAAGGACAGAGCTGGATATTTACTAATGAGTGAAAAGTGTGTTGAGAAGATGGAAGGAGTACATTGAGAAGGTGATAAATGAAGAAAATGAAAGATAGAGGAAGGCACATGGAGGACAGTTAGCGCAGAGGATTAGTACGGAGGAAGCAAGGGCAGCTATGAAGAGGATGAAGAGTGGGAGGGTGGGCAATAAACCCATCCATGACCCAGCGTTAGAGGTTCTTGTCCAATATTTTCTGGTACTGGCCCCTCACTGTGGTGTAGCCGTCTTATACTCTCAGCAGAAAAACAGCCGTAAAGCATAATGTTTCCACCTCTGTGCTTGACTGTGAAGATGGCGTTCTTTGGGTCATACTCAGCATTTCTCTTCCTCCAAACATGATTGGTGAGTTGATGCCAAAGAGCTCGGTTTTGGTTTGATCTGACCATTCAGATGTTCACTGGAAAATTAAAGACAGAAGTGTGCATGTGCCTTCTTGAGCAGCGGGACCTTGTGGCAGAGAGGTGCACAAGTCTTTGAGGGGCAAGTCTCAAGTGTATAATGGATGAAAGTGACGTTCTATTGTCAGATAAACACCAACTAGTCCCACTATAACAACTTGTTATGTGTTATATGTGCTGTGTTGATGCACCACAGCATTTGAAGTGATGAGAGCGTACTCACTCAAGAGGGCTGTTGCAGTTAAAAAGAATAGACACAAGTAAAGCAAAGTGAAAAACTGCTCAGTTGAAGTTGATAAATTTACACTTTAAACTTTATTGCTTGTTACAACCGGATGCAGGATGTTAACTAACCTAGTTTGTAGCTCAACTTTCTGATTCATAGGCATCTCTTCACCTCACTAAGTGACTGACTTATAACAGTCTTTGTCGCTTTGTTACTGCTATCTCTGCTCGAGTGTTGTTTGAAAAAAACACTTTAATATCTTTTGTCTGTGAAGGTTCTCAGTCATCCAGGTCATGGTGGTCTAAAGAGCTTGGAAAGAAAAGTGTCTGGACTTCTCTAATATCTTACTATATGTATGGACAACAAAGATTTAAGAAACATTTCATTTATTTTACTGTGCATTTACTGTACTATGCAACCTTTGGAAAGGGTTGTGTAAAAATTTTTTAACGTGTTGTCGCCTCTTGGCCAGGACTCCCTTGAAAAAGAGGTTTTTAATCTCAATGGGATTTTTTTCCTGGTTAAATAAAGGTTAAAAAAAAAAAAAATCTTTATGACATTTAGAGTCCTCGCAGCCGATTAATTTAAAAACAAAAATTCACAAATTATTAGCATATTCAGAACATTTCCTTAACTAACAGAGAAAAATGCACCGTCTCATGAAACAATGTGCAATTCAGGGCTGTGGTCTGTCCCTTATTTACATCTTAATTTTACCCTTTTACATGGATAAAAAATGGTTTTCAAGACTTGAGTCCCAAACCTTGAGTCTAAGTCAAGTCTGAAGTGTCGCGAGTGCAAGTCGCCATCTCTGCCTTGTGGGCACTGCAAGACTGCACTCCATTAGCACCAATAGTGTTGCTGGTGACTGTGGTCCCAGCTGCCTTCAGATCATTAGTTCATTCATATAGTTCTGTACTGATAAACCACCTTTCTCATGATCATCCACAACCCATCAGGCAAGAGCATGGAGCTCCAGACTCAGAGTGATTGATGGACATTTTGTATTTCTTCAGTTTCTGAATAAATTGCACCAACATTGGACAAAGGATATTGAAAAGGATATTGATCAGTGTATTGAAGGAGGACAGGCAGAGGGCTGGTGTGACAAAACAAGATGCTAGGGACAGAGTGAGATGGATGCAAAAACACACAATAGCACACTATCAGTTATGGATTGGCCTCCCCTGAGGCCAGACCTCAACATTATTGAAGCAGCATGGGATCATCCAGACAAAGAACCAAACAAAAGGCAGAAACATCCAAAGAAGAGTTTTGAATGTCCTCCAGGCCCAGAGAACTATTAGTGAAGACTACTTAAAGAAAGCTTGCCTAAGAGAGTTCAGGCTGTGCTGAAGATGAAAGGTGATCATACCAAATATTGACTCTTAAGCTCATTAGAGTTATAAAAACTCCGCCTTTTCTTCATATACTGTATTTCGATCTGTTTTTGTAAATGCTTTTTTTCCATTTTCCTACCAAGATAAAAAGGGGCAGCTCAAGATGTTTGCACAGTAATCTGTGAATAGCTAGTCATTACTGCATATACTCTCTGCTAGAGTTAATGCATTGACAGCTATGACAGAATTGGCTATAAGCATCAAATCTACTTTCTTGCTGCTTGTTTTGCTGCCCGCCATTATCAGAATAATAATGTGCAGACTAATAATAATCCCCGATTGGCTCCCTTTAGTGATGGCAGATACAGTAAGTACATTTTAGCCTATTATTATAGTAAAATGCTGTGGTTATCTAACATGTTTTTATCCATTATAAATGATTTGTTCATAATGTTAATACACTGCTAATATATAAGCTGAGTCATATCTCTCTCTTGGCGCTCTTTTTACTAGAGCTGTGATTTACTTAGCCTTGATTATCCAACAGAATTTGAGGAAGTGGAAATTGGTGGCCAATCACAAATAAAAGTTGTGTTTCGTTTTTGTGGTTTTGCAGTTCCTATTCCTCTGCTTCCAATCTTTCTGCTAAGAAAAGCTATCCAGGGAGAATACTTAACCGCATGAGAATAATATCTAGTTTTTACTTTCATCAAGAAAGTAAATAAAGGGTAAATCTGTTGTACTACTTTTGGAGTTTGGAGTGTACGGAAAAGGAAATATTGTCACATTCTGTTTTCTGTCTGTCTTTCAGAGGAAGACAAATGCTACTATAGTTAGGTCAGGAAGACCTTGAGAAAACAATGCGGGGATTGCTTGCAGCATCGAGGTCCGCTGATCTAACCTTAGATGTTCTCACCTGCTCTCCCTCTTTGACAAAATCCTTTCTGCAGATATGAGCCATGATTCCTGTGGCAAGAGCGTCGCCCATCACATTGACCATGGTCCTGAATCGATCCCTACACAACAAGGTCAAACGTTATTCGCAGTGAAGACTGATGAAGACCGTGGTTTATACACCCTATAACAAGTTAGTGTGTATTCCTGATATTTTGCTGATTGTTGCTTTTTTCAACCTCTGTGCAAGAAGCTAAGAGTTACTGGTTGTTAGCTATGATGATTGCTGTTAGAGAAAAAATTAACCTTTACTTACAAAGCCCAGTCGACAGCAATGATGAGAGTGATGTCATCAGTGGGCAAACCCACAGAGGTCAGCACGATCACCATGGTAACAAGACCAGCCTGTGGGATTCCAGCTGCACCGATGCTGGCGGCCGTGGCAGTGATGCTGAGAGAACAGAGAGAGAAAGTCGGGTACGTTTATCTTCAAAGGATATACAGGAACACGTCCTTATATATGACCTCCCTGAGATGAAGGTGCAGATCTGTTTGTGAGCACTGAAACCTCAGGGATGGAAAAATAAAGCAGACATAGGGACCGTGGAGAACTATAATTCTGAATTACTTTAATACATACTGTATGTGCCATGCATAACTTTTTTCTTCAGTGCAGAGTGCAATATAGCTCTAATTACTCATCCATATTTACTTGGCAGCAGCAGTTTCAGCAGATTGATATTTTGTCCACAAATACACACGATCAGCTTATAAGAAGGGCATGAACTAATCCAAAGCTGGTGTATGGTAAGATAATTTCAATATGCATCACTCCCCTTAACAGTGTTTGCTCATTTTCTACTCTAGCATGACAGATGCTGAAAAGTGGCATGACATAAACATTTCTGTGAACACTGGGTCCTTGTTTTCAGAGGTAGAAAAAAATAGGCTCCAGTTTTCTAGCTTTTGATTTTTCTAAGCAACAGAAAAACTATCCCAGCACATTGCTAGACAGCATAACCACGTTCTTAGAAAACTGCCTCCACCTCCAGCTTTTCTTTTCTTTTTTTGCTTCTAACTGACTCACTTTAAATTAGATCCCTAAAAAGGTTAATATTTTTTCTATTATTTGTAGCAGTCACGTTACATCCTCTGGGGTTTAGAAATGAAGCCAGAGGAGAAGTGTGAAAAGCAACAGTTACTAAATGGCCACTTGAGGCTGCCTCCAAAATGAGTCAGTTCACAAGGATATCCAAGGATATCCGTTAATGGATTTAGCTTGCTAACCAAACTAAGAAGCATTAGTGTAGCCAGTAGCGGTTTTTGATATGGGCAACATGTGCGGTTGCCCAGGGCGGCATCTGGAAAAAAAGTTTTGCTCGTGCTCATGCTGCCCCGACATCAGCCAGCGCATTTTGGGAATGGCATAGGCACCGATCGGCTTTCTATCGCCCATTTGCTGGGAGTAAGGTCGCCCTCCCTTTGCAGGGTGCGCCTGCTGCTTGCAGTTGCAGCACAGGGAGGAGAGAGCGGGGGATTCTCTGGCTGGCTGGAGCAGCATCTAATAACCAGCTCGCAAAATAAAACAAAATAAAAACAAAATTAAAATTTACAGTTTGATGATTTAAAGTCTCACACACAACCTGTCGAAAGGGGAGGGGGGCCGTGCTGCTTCCAAGTAGAGCACATTTCATTCATAATGTTGTAAATCCAAGCCCATTAAGTATTCATGATTTGTTCCTGTTTTGTGCGAAATCCCAGAAAATAAACCCCAGACAAAGCGAATCTGTGAACTAAGGTGTAGGTCTATTAGGGAAATGTTGTGGTGATCCTCGGGCTGAGGGATGGGTGTTCATACTGGAGTGCAAAATTAAAATGGAAGATGGACAAGAAAAGTTCAAAGCCATCAGGTGCTCAGTTTAGAAAAAAAGAGAAACGAAGAGGAGGAGAAACGAGCAAAAGATGCAGGTAAGCAGATGTGTGATTGGATAATGGCAGGTCATCCTGAAACAATCAGAATCAGAATACTTTATTAATCCCTAAGGAAATTATGTGAGTTACAGTTGCTCCAAGAAGAAATGGTAAAAATAGCAACGTTATGTTACAGATTTTACACACTTAAGAAATAGCACTAATATATACAGATCACTCAATTATAAAAATCAAGGATTAACAGAGGTGATTATAAATAAATATCAAGAAAATTGACAAGAATATTCCAGAGTAGAAAAGAGTGTGTGTAAAAAGGGTGTAACTATTGCAGTGTTTACAGTGCTTTATATGGAGGAGTTGTACAGGGAGATGTCCACGGGCAGGAATGATTTCCTGTGTCGTTCAGTGGTGCTTTTTGGTGATCTCAGTCTCTCACTGAACGCGCTTCTGTGACTAGCCAACACATCATGGAGTGGGTGGGACTTATTATCCAACATTGTCTTTATCTTGGACAACATCTGCCTCTCAGACACTACCCTATCGGAGTCCAGCTCCTTCCCCACAACATTAATGAGCTTGTGGATCAGTTTATTTAGTCTGTTGGTGTCTGTGACCCTCAACCTCCTGCCCCAGCATGCAACAGCATAGAGGATAGCACTGGCCACAACAGAGATGCAACAAGATAACATCAATTAGTAGGGATAGTGAAAACGTCTGTTAGCAACTTGACTATGATTGTAAACAGCAGACACTGATGTAGTTTACTGAATCGTTTGGACTGTGTTCAGCACAATATTAATTAGTCATCTGTGTAGACAGCGAGGTTATTACAGTTAACCTAAACTAAATGAAAGCTAGATGTGAAAACATTTAAATTAACTAATGTGGCAAAGAGAAGACTCAACTAAAAGCTTAACACTGATACGATTTTGTGATCTTAGAAAACAAAGCGTAATAAGAATACAGGGATGTTTTAGTATTTTTGTAGTTTGTTAAATTTTAATGCAACTTGTCTGATGAGGCATTGATGGACTTTGTTATTGAGACGCTAGATGTCGATAACACAGGTACATGTGTAGTAGTAGGTACATGTGTGACTCAGGTGCTTGAAAAAGTTCTGTGTTTTTATTGGAACATTTTACGAGGTCTTACCTCTGACAAAGTAATTGAATACACTTAATTTAAAACTGAAACTAATAAAAAGTAAACAAAAACTATGTATGTTCAAACAATAGAAAACAAACTGAAACAAGAATCGTGTTAAAGTTTTTACAGTATCTGAAGATCCCAAAGGAACGGCATCAGAATTTAAAACTTTTCTGGAAACCCATGTACGTGACTTCTTGTCACGATCACAAGCTTCTCTTTAAAGCCTGTATATGCTCCCAGTAAGAAAGTATCTAGTATCTAGTATCAGTTACTCTTTTTAAACTATTTATACGCAGAGAGCATCTTTCCTACCACCCATTTTTTTCAGCTCACAGAGAAACAAGCTTAGCAGCGTCTCATCTGCAGTTTGTACCTATGAAAAATAGCACAATCTGTCTCTACTGCAACCATTTAAATGCTGCTGCACTGCTAATCCAACAAAATGATATATTATATAACAATCTTAATTGTAGAACTACATATTTTAGTTATGTAAAGTTTCAGATGCCTTGTCCACTACTGTGGAGAAAGAATTAAAATATTTTGGGACAGTGACGGTTTTGAGCTTCTGGACTTTTGAGTGCAATTTGACAGCTTTCTCCTGGAAAGAACAAGAGGTTGGGGTTCAGGTTGGGCTAGCATGCAGATGGAGCAGCTACGTGGTCAGTAGCCAAACCGCGCGAACAGGATGCAGAGGGGGAAAAAAATATTATAATTCTCCGTGACAAGGGAGCTGAGTAATACAGGTCATATGGGTTTTACTGCCAAGGGATTATGAGGGAGTGTGCACAGACAGCAGCCATGAAGAGGTCTGCTCTTAACATTATTACAGTAGGACATCGATTCAGAGGAGGGACAGGACGTTTCCCTTAGCCCGAGCCTGGAGGGGTTGGTGGTGGTTTGCTTACTTTTGACTGAATATTGCAGAGCTGTGGTGTTGGTAGGATGAGGCCTGTCAATATTTTTTCTGTCTGTCTGTTTTTCCCCAGGGCTTCCAGACTGATTTAGCAGAAATCAGATCAGACTAAGAAGCTCACATGAGGCGTAATCTTTGTGACATTTACATATATGTGTATCTAGTAAATCCCACAATATTTTTATTAATTCAGAATTAAACTGAACGTGTGACGTTATTATTCACGTTGCAGACAGAACACCAAAAACATGCCTGCTGTTCATTTTTGACCCATATAAATTTCTCCCTGACTGCTGAGATATAAATATCTCGTTGTTGAATGTAACATATTTTTAAAATTCTGTTTTATTAAGAGAAATTAAGAGAGATTCAACTTCTTACCATGACTTTGAATTATACTAAGACAAGAAATAAAGTAAGTGGTTCTGTAATAGCTCTATAATTCCTCCCAATCAGTGCCAGGCTCCCAGTTACAGAGTTAATTCTCAGGCATTAAGTGGCAACTCTATAATTTAACAATAAAATAATATAATTTCTCTGAGATTTCTTTTAAATACGATTTAAATTAAATCTGAGTAAATCAGTGTTTAATGAAGTTTTTGTAGTGGTGGATTTTAGTACCTTTTAACAGACATCTGCACACCAGCTGACAGAAAGAAGATAAATTATCTGCGTTTAATGAAAACACCTTTTTTCTTAGCAAGTACTACAAATCTGGGGGTGAGCCTGACAAGATTTCCAAATGAATTTGAATTTTACCACTGTGACTTCATGAAGGTTTAATTTTGATTAAAGGATCTGTAGTTTGAACTATCCTGACCTTTAGTCCTAGGCAAAGAGCAGATCCCCAAGGAATGAATTCTACACTCAAAAAATTATTTAAGTCCAAAACGCTGGATTACACATAAAGTTTCTGTGTAATTTTGTAAGATAAATACAATATAAAATGTTACATTTAATGGAATCATGTCAAAATGTACTTGTCACCTTTTTTCCTTAATGATTAAATATTTTAATAAATAAACCTCTGATTTTATATATTTCATTTGTGTTTTACCTACAACTTTTTGCTTCATGTTTATGAGCGGAAGCAATAATTTTGGAGTGTGCATATAGGCAAATGTGTTTAAACTCTACGTTGTTGTCCACAACCACTATCCGCTACACAAACCATTACACAACCACTATCTTACTAAACATTTTAGAAAATGTTTCCAGATGGACAGGAGCCATTGTGTAATTATTTTAACAGAATGCATTCATTAAATTCATAACATTTGATGTGTAAAATGCAATCTCTTCTTTTATTCCAATACATTTATTTAAGCCATGCAAGAAAGTGAGTGAAATTATAGAAGCAGCTGTTAGAAAATGGTTTAGTATGTTAGTATCAATCCGATACCAAGTAAATACAGGGCCAGGATTGCAGATACCAGGTACCAGTATTTTTAACCTATAAGAGCATGTAGTGGAGAGCAGTGTGTCGTGATTTAAGAAGTGAATAGTCACACCTTTCAGCTTCTTCTACTTTTTGGAGAACTGAAATGTAAGTGTGCCTGTCTCTAAAGCACTTTAGGTCAGCTTCTGTTGTTTAAAATGTTTAATTTCCCCCCAAAATGCTTTATTTAACACAACTCAGTGAGCTACATACTGAACAAAATATCAATCCTATTGCACCAGTATCAATCCGATAGCAATACCAGCGTTGGTATCAGTACTATCGATGTTTGGATTGATCCACCAACTGCAACTGTGCACATTTACTTGCTTACATCCCATTATGAGTTAGATTTTTTGACTTGTGATGCCCCTTACCTGATGGTGATGATTTGCCCAAAGTCCAGTTCGTAATTGTTCACTTGGGCGATGAAGATGGCTGCCACGGCCTCATAGAGCGCCGTACCATCCATGTTGATAGTGGCCCCGACCGGCAGCACGAAGCGGATGATGCGTCTGTCGATATGGTTGTTCTCAAGGAGGCACTTGAAGGTGATAGGCAGAGTAGCAGAGCTGCAGGAGGGAAAGAAAAAGTAGACAGTGTAATCAGTTGTGTTATAGCAGGAAATGTCTCTTGGGTTCAAGCCACTGACAAAACAAACAATAAAAGCATGAATAAAGCAAGTAGCTCCTATTTTTCTGTGTAAAGTGGGAATCTGTAAGCAAGGAAATAATAATAAGTATGCTGGATGAAGATTTAGGTTTTTAAATGTATTTCTTTTTGTCTTTCTTTCTTGCTTTCTTTTTGTTTTCTCCTGCAGGCAGCAAAAATTTACAGTCCTTAGAGTTTCTCAGAACCAGAGCTGTAACTGAAAGAATAAAGGTAAACTTCACAACTAAACATAGTGCTGCTGCTTTTAGACTGGTTTATATATTCTCAAACTCCTTGTAGGTGTTTGGGATTCTGGCTTACTCTTTTTTCTGTGTTTGGTCATACTCTGCAAACACTGCTCGCGATTCAATAAACCTCTGTCGACTTAATGAGTTTATAACCCCTGATGTGACACTGCTCAGCGTGACTGTTATTGTTAGTTTTAGTGAGGACAAGTAACAAAAAGATTTCCTGGCTATTCTGAACACATGTTTGTGGCATTGACCGTGGACTTAAATGCAGTAAACACACTAAAAGGCTGCGAGTTGCAGCGTGGTTGGAAAGAAATATATCAGTAAATACAGTGTAAAAGACAGCCCTGAGGTGGAGTATTATGTTAGGGTTACAGAAAAAAAAAATCACCAACAAACATCCATTTAATTTCCTCTATTTTTGTTCCTAATAGAGCATAAAAGCAATTTTTCTTTGGCCTTGGCCCTCTCTTTGTGTTGATATTTCTGCTGGACCATAAATGGAGGCTTATACAGATTATAAGGTGGTCATCATTGTTTTCTTTTCTTCTGGGAAACATCCTAATGGCATGGAAAAATGTAATACATGAACATTTACCAGTGATTTTTTTTCTTTCTTTTTCTTTGAGACCCTTTGAGGTGATTTTGCATATATGTACCACAAGAAAATGCTACGAAAAAAGCCAGCTGAGTTTATATGGGACATAAAGCCTAACACTCCCCCCACATGGTAAATGGCCTGTATTTGTATAGCGCTTTACTTGGTCCTAAGGACCCCAAAGCACTTTACACTATACACAGTCATCCACACATTCACACACTGGTGACGGCAAGCTACATTGTAGCCACAGCCACCCTGGGGCGCACTGACAGAGGCGAGGCTGCCGGACACTGGCGCCACCAGGCCCTCTGACCACCACCAGTAGGCAACGGGTGAAGTGTCTTGCCAAAGGACACAACGACCGAGACTGTTGGAGCCAGGGCTCGAACTGGCAACCTTCCGATTACAGGACAAACTCTTGAGCCATGATCGCCCCCTCATCAAAATTCTGACACAGCTCAGCCACATTAGCTCCACAGTGTGTTAAAATTACAGGATTTTTATTGTAGTGGGGCATTCACATCAAAGAAAAATGTAACTGACTAAATGTAGTAGGTACATGTGTGAAAGAAGTCCTGATGATTCATTTACAGACACAGTTTTTAAATAAATGTGTGCATTTGTCTGCGCATCAAGCTTTATAATAATAATAACAATAATTTAGGACCTGTAGATCTGCAAAGTCATATGCTTTACCTGGAGGAAGTGGCCAAGGAGATGAGAAGGGCTTGTAGAATGCCTCTTATGTAAACTATCGGGCTTTTCTTGGTGATGAAGAAGTACATGGCCGGGAGGATGAACAGTCCGTGCAGCACCAAGCCCATTACCACAGTGATGGCATAAAAGCCCAACTTCTTCCCCATGGCCGAAGGGTCGTCCATCTCTAAGATCTTTCCAGCCACCAGAAACACAATACCAAAGGGGAAATACCTGCAGAAAGGAGGAGGGAAGGACTGCTGAACACAGTGATACTAATATTAGCATGTTGACATATTTAATCCAAACAATTTTAATATGCTGGTGGTTACTAGTTTCAAGGACCTATGATCTTAATATAATGTGTAGGATGCTAACATTTGCAAGTAGTGGACAGATAAAAGGCTGCCAATAAATGACTAGTCTAGCATCGTTACAATAAACCTTCACTAGATGAAGGCTTTAAAGTGGGGCATGTCTGTTTCACCTTTTTTTTGTAATCCATCCAATTGTTGTTGAGACATTTACCTAAATACGAAAAAGTCTGATCTAACTAATATCAGAATATTTCAAATTTAACATGAGTGAATGGCAAACAGTGCAGGTTTTTTATCAGTGTTAGTTATAGTTGATCAGTAAAACTTCACAAATGTTGTTACTTTTCTTGTGTTAGGGGTTTCTTGTAAAATACTGCTCTTACCAAATGACAATGGCAACAATCTTCAAAACCGCCTCATTCAAACTCTGACAAAAGTTGACCAAAGCACTTCCGTTGGGTCCCATTCTTCCCAGCATTATTCCTGAACGGGAAAAAAAAAATGCAAGCATGCATCTGCAGTGATGTTTTCAACAGTATTAAGTGATAAGAATGGAAACATTTGTTTGTTCCCTGCACAGCACAGAATGAATGAACCAATGGTGGGTGGAAACCAAAATCATCGGCCCTTTGAGGCCTCACTTAAGTTTGCTTTTTTGAGATATATATTTATGCATGTGCATTGTGGATATTAGTGCGTGTGGGATTCATGTCAAACACTTACCCATGGTTGCAGAGAATATAACGATCCCCAGTACATTCATGCCTTCGCTGGTGCCGGGAGATGTTTTCACGATGACGTCAGGAGGTGGCGTTAGATCCAGGGAGAAGTTCTGGGTGTCGGTGCCATTGTCATCCTGGATGCCATAAATGTAGACCCTCCGCGTGGTTGTCTCATCCAGGAGCTGAGCGACTGTCGGTTTGGGGATGAGTTCTGCGACTCTCTGGGTTCGATACTTGAAACCAAAACAGAGCACAGTGAACGTGACATACCAGATTCTTACATGATAATGAAACACGCTCATTTGTGTTTGCATTCTCGCACGGCAACAAATTCATTTTATTCTTTTTGCAAATGCGTTGAAATAAATGGACAATAGAAGATAATATAAAGAGGCGTTGCAGTTTAGATTAAAGATTAGGGGGTAACAGAAATATATGCTTTCAGTGTTTGAGCTTACCTGTTGAAACGTAGCTTGGACCAAGTTGGCTGGAAACATGTTGCTATAAAAGAGAATTTAGGGAATTTGTTAATATCTTTCAGTGAATAGCAGACACATTGTAATGGATCCAAAGTAAAATGTAGGTTAACAATCCCAGAAATGTAATCAATGCAGAGAAATAGAACAGTTATAACTTTGCTTTAACAAAAGCTATTTCTGTGTATCTCCTCTTTTTTATATTGGCTTTGATATTACGGGTGTATAGGAATTTCTTTTACTTATGTATTATTCACATTTTTTTATTGTATAATGCCTTGGTGCCTCACACTCATACATTAAGACAAATGGTGGGGGTCTAGTAAGGAAGCTGGGGGGAAGCAGACAGCTCCACAGGAAGAAACTTGATTGATTAAATCAGAAATTCAAAGAAGGACGACAGCTTCTTTATGGATTCTGCATCATTACTACTGTGCAAGAAGTCTTACTCTAATAAAATTACACTGAAAGTTTGCTTTGTTGGTAAATAGACTTTTCTGCATCAGTCCTATCAGTCCTGACAAATGAAAATCTCCACATCTCATATCTCTGAAGAAAAGAATATTGAGTTCTTCAGTTCTTGAGCTGCCACAGAGTGGACTCAGGTGCACGGACAGATGAAATCTGAAGACAGAGGAGCAGGCAGAATGGGGACAGTAGAAAATAGAGAACAATCTCTTTCTGGAGAGGAAAACAGATGCCCACCATCCATCGAGGTGAAATGAAAGGTTGTCCGACAAACTCATTCAAAGGATCAAAGATAAAATGAGATACGTTGGTTAATGACTATATATTTCCAGAATGAGTTATTGATAGAGCATCATAAACTCTAAGTATGACTAATACGACTAGTCCTCTCTCTGTTTTTGTCATGTAATAAATAGCAAATGAGTCACTGTATCCTTACACAGTGTAAGCTGGGATGTGGATTGGCCCCACGTTCATGCAGACCACAGATGAATATAAAGTAAGTGAGCAGACCTGCATCGTGATCACTGTAATTTAATTGTCAGAGTTTGGTGTTTTTTTAAATACGTTTTTTTCTGTAATTCAGTTTCGACCACTGATTTAAGAGCTGAGACAGCACAGCGACAGGTGTCTAGTAGCACTATATCCTGACAGAAGAGGAGGGTCAGGTATTTAAAAGGTATTCTTTTTTATTTAAATAGAAGTTATATAAAAAGCTAAATATGCTTTAGTTTATGAATTATCTGTAACAAAAAATTAAGTAATGAGCAGATGATTTTTATTAAAGTTGGACAAAGACTACAGTGCAAAAGATGGTCCTGTTAAAAGGGAGTTTTTCCTTCCCGCTGTCACCACAGTGCTTGCTCATAGGGGGGGTCATACAGTTGTTGGGATTTTCTTTGTTTTCTTTGTATTATTGTATGGTCTTTACCTTACAATATAAAGCGCCTTGAGGCAACTATTGTTGTGATCTGGCACTGTATAAATAAAACTGAATTGAACTGAACTGAATAGTTTGCATGGAATTTCTGCCATTTAATATGCTGATTATATATTTATGTTAAGATGCAGTTGAACAGGTGTACCTAAAATGTGACCAAGCCACTGAGCCACAGTGTCTTTAGGACAGAAGACAAAGTCAGGTTCCTCACAGCACATCATTGCTGTTCCACGATATGTAGGAAGGAAATCCCAGATACTACACAAACATGACTAATAACTTATAAAGTATTTGTTTTTTAAGTCAAGAGCTGCTGGGATCACTAAATGCACAATGAATGACGAGTGAGTGGTCTAATAAATACAGGAGAGTTATGAGGTGCCCTTTGTTTACGTGCAGCTACTGCCTGTGTAGTATTCTGTGCAAAGAGACTACTGTCCAAGGTCTGCGTTGTATTAGTGCTGCTGGTAAATCCCACAGTGACACAGAATTTAAACCACAATCAGAAATCAACCATCACATTTAAGATGCAGTGAGATTAAAAGCCACACTGCATCTGGGTACGTGTACATTAAGAAGAGTGACGTTAAAAACCATATGGCAAAGATTTCCAGAAACATTGCAGAGTGAGTCACAAGACTGCGGTGAGTATCCTGCACAGATTGGACCAGCGGGATATCCAATCAGAGCAAAGCTGGCTAATGAAACACTCTGACCCCAGGGTTCCCCTAATAAATCCAAGAATGCACATATTCTTACATAGCATGCTCATTATAGATGCTTATCCAACACATTCACACACGAGCACTGACAGTCGAGTGATACAGCAGACCTGCATGATAGATGAAGGCTGTAAAGAAGCTTTGCGGGATAAATCCAAAGCACAGCTGTGCTCTGTAACCCCCCCTCAAACACACACACACACACACACACACACACACACACACACACACACACACACACACACACACACACACACACACACACACATAGAATCTGTGAACAACAAAGCTTCACCACTGCACATGATCAGGTCATAGATGGATTTCATAGGCTTGGCCAGTTTATTACTCCCTCTTATTGACAGTGTGACTGGAAGTGAGTCTTCCAACTCTATTTTATTTTTATTATTTAAAAGTTCATTATTTTTTTTTTTTCCAAAAAAACAAAATTTGTTCATAATTCATCATTTCCATGTTTTTGTTTGCCTCCCATTCTGTGCATTTAGGTTAAAAAACCACAAATATCAGATATCCTTGTGCACAGGTCCACACCTCAGCCACTCTTCTTTTAGTCTACTGACCTGCCGTGAGTCTCTGTCATGTTTCAGGTCTATCTCTAGCACAACAACCCAGCCCTTCAGCAGCACTAATTAGCTTAGCACAATAACCCACTGGCACATAAGGTTCCAGGCTTTACACTCCGACCTCAAGCACCTCCTTGACTTCTGCCTCCATGAGCACGCAGAGCAAATCTGCTTTTCATTCGCGCTATAACCTACACACGTTTGTTTCATTTGCAAATCCGCAAAAGCCAAAACGCGCACATTAGCAATACAGCATGTGAATTAGATTCGCTCTGAATAAAGTCGATCTTCTCCATGGATTTTTTTTCTTTCTGCTAGATTGTTTTTCTTAAGATTATTTTCCATGACTTTGTTGATATGAAATTGTACATAAGCATTTTTTAAGCTTTATTCATTTTTAAATACAAGATTTCCATGTTGGTTAAAAAAGCAACAACAGGCTGAATTTTAATGAGTTAAACAAAAGTCTTTCCCAACATCTTGTTCATCTAATGACTCAGATTTCTCTGAAGCCTCGCTTTTGAACTATTGACACTAAATACACAAACTTACATTAATCCAAAGAAAGCAAAATACAGCCAAGTTTTTACTCCCTTCATCCTTCTTCCATGGGACTACATAAAAACAAGCACTTAGGCAACTCTCTTTAACATAGTCTATGCATTTTCTGGCGCTACACTTGCAGCGCTCTGAGCATAACGGAAATAATTAGTGGTCTCTTACCGAATGAGGTCCAGCAGAGCATCAGCAGAGCTGGTCATTGGCTTCTTGCTGTCCTCAGAATCCTCCTTCTGTGCAGCTCCACCCGGGTGAATGATGTAAACCATGAGAATACCAACTACCACAGCAACAAAGGTGGTCCACAGGTAGTATGAAATGGTCATTATTCCCAAGCGGCTGGAGCACTTGGCATCCAGAGCAGCCAGACCGGACATCAAACTGAGAGCAAGTGGAGACACACAAAGGCGGAAAGAGACAAGATAGAGTTAGAAACCAAGAGGGAGTTGAAGAGATTGTGGCTGAAGAGATGCTTCTGCTCAGTGTCAGAGTGAACATTTTGAAGCTGAATTTTTAGTTTTCCTGCAGAAGAAGAAAATCAGTAGTGATCAGCTACATGCAGCTGCAAATGTTCAGCCAACTCGTGTAATGTAGATCCTTGCTGTAACCATTTACCCTGCAAACAAGTGGCCCTCTACTACACAATCCAAAATACAACTGTTTATTATTTTCTTGCTTTACTGATGCTAGATTTAACTTTAAAACTCTTGACTATTAGAATAAAAGTTCCCAAACATATGAATGAGTATGCTGGGTCTTAAAGTGTATTATGATGAAAATAAACCGCTGGTGGTTCAACAGGCTCCAAATTTGTGAAATGCCAGAGGAAATATTCTGGCAAGCTTCAAATTCAGCATTCACCTTAATAACATGCTTTATGTGGATATGAAAGCAAGCAGAGCTTTAACTAGGTGTGCAGCTTTGAAATGAATGCAGCACTTAACCAATCTCAATCAGCCTGTTTCAATTTTGAGAAGCTCTCCGTGTAAGCCTCTGCAGTCTTAAACAAGACACGGCTTCTTCTACCTTAAGATACGTGAATTCAGCCGTGTAGCTTTGCACTCATCCCTCTATGCCAGTGAAGGCGATGAAAAGTTGTTCTTACAAACATTCGAAACAGTCGATGTTAATTTGCATTTGTATGGGCAGCTCTGAATACAGTGTCTTTTCAGATATTTGTTTTCACTGTACAAAGATGGTGATGCTCGTCGTGTATACAAAAAAAAAAAAGGAGTGAATGAGGGAGATTCACATAATTGGCTTCTCGGTGAGTTAAAAAAAAGTAAAAAATAAATAAATAAATGCAAATGACATATTTTTGGGAAGTGTGGGAGGATGTGGAGGGTGATGCTCGTGAAAGCAGGGAAACAGCGGTGGAGAGATCTTGAGCTGGGGAGACAAGATTTTCTCCCCATCCTGTGTAATCTGGTTCGACTTGGCAAGTGTTTGGGTGGATGTGCTGAGTTTTTCTGTGCACTCGTTGCCTGTGCTGAAACTCATACTGTCATGCCTCCTTCCATCATTTTTCAAATGCAAACTAGAGAGTCTCCATCTCCTGCAGGTTTCACACTGGGGACTATTGTGCTTTGAAAAGCCAGTCTGGTCACATGAATGGAAACTTGCGTCTTTCTGTGTGTGTGTGTGTGTGTGTGTTTGTGATAACATAATAAATTCTTGGGATGGGAGAAAGCATTTGATTGAAACTTGCATTAAAACGCTGCAGAACTTTATTATTAAATGCTCAAATTAAGCGAAGGATCAATTTTTTCCACTGAAGCCAAATCATAATTTCACAGCTGCAAAAACGATGATGCGCTTGAATGATAAATAAAGTCACGTCTTCACTTGATTTTGCTGTAACTATGGTAACTATAGCACAATCTTGGCTTCCTAAGTGGAAAAATTATGCTTTTCCAGTTCGGAGTATATGAAACATTTACTGAGGACTAAAGTTCAGACAGTCAATTCATCTGCATAGATCACTCACCTTTGTTGAGATGTTAAAATGAAAATGTAACTGAATGGTTAAAGAACCACAAGTGTAAGTACAGGATAATAGCAAATTCTAACACTGTTAAATTACTACTGGTTACACTGGATAAAGTCACGGTGGTGTGTTGGTAGTCTCTAAACTGGTTAAATATCTACAACTTTTTTCTGCGTAGCAAAAATGCTTCACAATTAGACTCAACCAGGAACGCTGGAAACTGGTTTGTTACTAAAAGTGAAAGCTCAGTCTCTCTGTGAGGAAACCTTTAATGTAATGTTTCATTTTGCTTATAAGTAGCCCAGAATTGTAGCTCCCTCGCACCGATCCATCTATGCATCTACATGGATTAGAACCCAACTTGTCAATCATAGGGCAACAGGTAGGGTACATCTTGGACAGCTCATTTCTTTATATTTTTCAGACTTGTTTGTCATTTTTTATGGTTTTGAGCTGGCTTTCTCGATATCTCTCAAAGATTTTCTTTGGTCATTGGCTAATTTGCCCCTCTTCAGTTCAGTCTTCATACCTGATCATTTTCAGAGAACTTTTTTTTGTTACTTCAGCCACTAACACTGACCTATGAATCATTCAGGCCTGTGATGTAGGAGATCTTGACATCACTGATGTAATTATAAAAGCAGAAATGTACAGACAGATTTTACCATTTGATTGACAGTGGCTTCATTCTTAAGCATGACAACAATGCCATACGCACTGCCAGTACAGTTAAGACACACCTGGATAGAAAACCAGTCAATGAAAGGTTGGCTTCCCCAGAGGCCAGACCCTGAACATTACTGAAGCATCTCGACAGAGAACAAAAGGCAGCCGACATCCAAAGATCTTTGAATGTCCTTCAAGAAGTTTGGAGAACTATTCCTGAAGACTACTTCAAGAAATTAAAAGAAAGCTTGCCTAAGAGAGTTCAATATGTGTTGCAGAGTAAAGATGGTCATTTCAAATACTGACTTTAAAACTTAGAATTGTATAAACTCTGTTTTTGTCTGCATTTCTGTGTTTTTTGGAAAACCACTACAACAATTAACTGGTAATAAAACATTTTTTAACCTTTCTTATTCAAAATGCAGCTGAGTATAAATGTCAGTGTCAATAATTTTATCAGGTGATTTGTTTTAACAAAGTCTCTTTTACCTTGATACAAATATCGAAGTTATTACTAAAACTGGCTATTATCTAAAAAATAATTCTAATGAATTAGTTTAAATCTGCCATGAAAGACACCTGCAGTGAAAGGGAATAAAAAAAGTAACGATTCTCTGTCGCCTACATGTTAGAGGCTGACTTTGCCTAAACACCTAAACAGTGAAATGAGTAACGTCAGGGGTTACAGTGCAGGTGAGCGAACCCTGAGATCTGTGTAGTGTCTCAGCACAGGGAAAAGAAACACGACTCACAGTAATTTCTAATGTGAGCTTCAGTAAATTCTCCTTCTGTACTTGATGTGATCAGCTGACCTGCTGCTCTGGATTTCTACAGCTGAATCCAAGTTGTCAGCAGTTTCACGAGCTATCCTGGCTGACGTCCATCCCCGACACTGACACAATACTGTTTATATTATCTTTACACTGGGCAGCATAAAGCTGATATAAAGTTGCCATTCGGTTAATTAATCTAAGTATCATCTGCTTAAATGCAGCTTCATCTCTGCTACACTTGATGCCGTCTAACTCTGACCATGAGCACCACAGACACTGTGTATCAGTCCAACACAGCTTTACTGTCAATTCATCACAATACTGCAAACTAAAATGTTTATCCTGCACTGAACTACCCAGTATTTTCATGCCACGTTTGAATAACACAAAGTTAGCATAGCTTAGTCTGTTTTATAAAAACACATCCTATACAAATCCAACACGCCTGCCTTTCTACATCTTTCTCCATCTCTGAGTGAACTTATCTCACCTTGTGAAATACAGCAGCTGGACCTTTAGCTAGTAACACACTGTGAGACAAACTGCACACAGACAGTTTGTGTGTTTGCTGATGTTTGCTGAATGCTGAAAGAGTATAAATGCTATAGAAGTAGAGAGTAGAAAGTACAGATATTTGTTTAAAAGTGTGGGGAGGAATAGTAAAAAGCAAAAAAGTAAAAACTTCTATATGCAGATGTTTTCTTAAAAGACCAATAAAAAGTGCAAAGGTAAGAATCTGTACTCTCTAAAACCTTTGCCAGTTCCTTTTCCACAAGGGCAGTCTAGACCTTTGCTCTTCTAAAGGCTTTCCAGGAAAACCCTGTTTTGTCATTGGACAGTTTGACCCCGTGTGCACTCAGCTCTGCTTACATGTTGTACTTACAAATCTCAAAAGATTTAACACTCAAAGGTAAATCTGGCATTTTAACTAAAAAAGAAAAAAACTGAATGTTATGAAAAAAGTGAAGCACTCAATTTCAAAACCTCCAACCACGAGGTTTGAATATGATCTAAATCTAATATTATACCAGTAAATTGCTGTCTACATTCTACAGTTTAATTTAATGTACTATGTTAATGTGGACAAATAATGAGTTATAACGCTTTATAATTCACCAACCACCGTGATATTAATTCTTATCACATACATACTGCACTGATGGGCAGGTTATTCCACCCACTATTTCTTTCTGTCTATCAAAGAAAAAAAAACAACAACTCAGTGGTTTACCCTTTTCTGTTTTTTTTCTCCTTGAACTGAACATTGTGATGCGACTGGAATTGCAATCACAGAACGGAGCATCGCTCGTGGGAATAAACCTTGCACCCACTGGTACATCAGATAACAAATGCAGCTGCAGAAATGATAACTAAAGGGCTTGCCCTGAGCTGCTCAGGGATTAGATGACCCCCAGCAGAAAAATCAAAATGTCATAAGTAGAATGTCACACTGCATTGCACTGGCAACATGTCAAAACATTAATCTTCAGGATAATCGCAGACAACAGTTTAAACTGAATATATATATATGTAAATATACACCAGGCCTTTGTGGATTTGTATGTATGAAGCTACAATAAAAGTTAAAGTTTGATGAATGAATTTAATCAACATCATCAGCTTAAATTTACATTGAAATCTTCTAGCCGTCATGTAGCTTCACGTTGACCACAAACAGCACAGCTTGCATTGTGAATTACACGGTAATCCTGAGAGGGCAGATGCACTGCGACTTAAGAAAACAAGATGAAATAAAAAAGAAATGCTGAAAAAGCTCGCAAAACACAACGGAAGTTGAATAAAATACAATAGAAGTAGTGAAAAACCTCACAAAACACAAAGAAAGGATTGTGACGGAAAAGCTGTTTCAATGCGAAGGACATGCGAAGGACTGCACTGAGACATGTTTAAAAGAAGCGGATGACACGGCGAGTGAGATGAGCCGTGTGGAGATA